TATGTTATTAGATCACCCAATTATCCTTCAAAGATTAAAAGCATTTGGGTCAATAAATCTGAATCTGTTTTATCTCATACACHTKTTGGTACTAACAATCTTCCTTGCATTGTGAAGTCTACTAATGATTTGATTAATCTTAGCAAGAGAAGGATTATGTGCTCAACATGCAGAACCAATAATTTTGTCAATAACAAAAGGTTCAACAGGTGGCATGAAGATAACAGTTATCAAAACAGTTGGAAAGGTAAGAACAGGTATGATTATAATAACTGGCATGAATCATATCTTGTATATAATCATCCTGTTAATAGTACAGAAAAGCAAATACCTTATCGAAATAAATGGTTTGGATGCCCCAACTCAATACTAACAATATAGGACCCAAGTTCGTTTGGGTACCAAAATCTACTTAATCTGGTTTTGCAGGTGTGTCAAATTTATGCTGATCAGAATATCATTTCAACGATACACCGATGCAGGGGGAGTTGTGATTTATTCCAACTAAGGCTTCTGAACACTTCAGTTCAGGACCTGTGCTTTACCGAGTGCGGTTTCTAAACATTCAGTTTAGAACCCGTGCTTAAAATGTTTTCTTTTTCATTTTTGAGCTTAAATGATTCATTACTTTAATCTACTTTCTAGGGGGAGTTTCCTACAAAGTTCAATAAATGGTTTTGATTTTTTTTTGGGAAAACGAGTACTTTTTCTGAACAGGTATTTCCTGAGATTTTACTTGCGTAAATTCTCATCGTACATAACTCTAATACCTGTTTCAGCTATTTTTCAAACTGTTATTATCACGTCTCTTATATGAAAATCATTTTCGGTGWTAATACACTCGTTTGTATTCAAGATTGTTTTTCTGATATTGTTTTTTCTTTGACTGATACACATTCATTCATTTTTTTAATATCAGAATTTGTAAACTTGTTCTTACAGATCTTCATTCATTTCTCTCATACATACCGAATAATCGAATTGTTGTCGCATCATTCTTTATTGATCGTGCTTAAAGCCAAATTATTTGATCAACTTTTATCTGATCATTGTGCTTTAAAGTAATAATATTTTTTATCAATCTTTGTGATCATATGTGC